GTAGGGTCGTTTGGGCATCTATAACTTTTAATAAATAATACCTTACTAAATTTCTACCTTTTTCGCCATACTATATGTCCTTCTTTAATATCGATGATATTATTTTTTTGGTGTTAACCTTTGAGACAGTGTTGATGTATATTAAAATTGTTGGAACTAAAGTGGTTTACGACTATTTTTTGGTGAGATTTCCGGTGAAAACGTTCATTGGAATGATCGGATTTTAGGCACGATAGAATCGTCGCCGTAGACACTATAATGTAATGTATTTACTTGTTAAAATCGAAATTGATTTGAATGAGAAATAAAACTCCAAAATGAATGACTCGAAAAGTTTATATAGCTTCCAAAATTTGACTAAGTGTAAAAACTAACAAATATCTCATTTTGGAATTTTGGATATAAAATAAAGTGGAGAACTCATGTACGGTTCCAAACCTTGAATTGGAGAAAGAAGATATTTGGACCGGGTTTCGGCTTTGGGTTTCGGAATTTGGCAAATATACCATTATTCTTTTGAATCAAAATTCTTTTTGAATTTTATTGACTAAGTCAAAAACAAAAGTATAACTCCTCTTTAATTGAAAGTTTGATAACGACAAATCAAAATTCAATTCAAAATTTAATTATGAGAATCAATTCTCATTAACTCCATAATGATTCTACTAACAACGTAATTTTTATACGTTAGGCTTGGTACTATAAAACCAGCCATTATCCTTCTCATAAGATGAGGTTGGATCGAATCATAAGATTATCAACATGATCACAACAACAAAAAACCTCTCACATGTTATTCTTATTTTATTTTGTGTTTCAGAGTATAACACAGATTCTAGCGTTCGTAGATTCTATAGTCTGAATGTTGCGACTATAATCTAACACAGTTTTATCCTAGAATTCAAAATCTCGAAAAAACTGTTACATTACGAGAGATTTTACGAATTAAGGAGAGATATTATATCTCGACTCTGTGCATTTTTTCTAAAATCATTTTCATATATCGTTTATTCTCCTCTCCTTAATTCGCATTTTTTTTATCGGATTTTTGGTTCTTACAGAAATAAGCTCGTACGATCCGTTCTTATCATCTTCTTCGGAAGTGAGTAGCACGAAATCACTCCATTTTTCTATTTCTGTACTTTCACCAACTTTTTCTTGGACGTACCAACTCCTTTATATATTTATGGAGTAAAATTTTAAACTGAAAATTAATAAACTAATAACCATAATTCCGATTACTAATTGAACAAATGTTTTGCTAGGTTACTTGTTTTCAGTTTCTTTGTATTTTGACGTGTTTTAATTTTATATTAAATGAACCATAACTTTAAATAAAGTGAACATTGGTTTTGTAATTTTTAACACTAAAAGCTTCTCAATCGCTTCTAACGATTAATTTAAATGAAAAAAAAAAGTACTAGTGAAAGAAAGCAAACACAAATCAAACTTATAGATAAATTATTGCCAAGAAATTAAGAGAGATCATTACATTACATGAAAAATACTAGTTTAACCGGTTCCAGTTTTCGGCGGCTCTACGATCTTCTTCGACTTTAAAGGAGATCGAGTTGGGAGCAGAGTCTCCAAAATCATCGTCTTCACCAATTCCTCTCTTTTGGGAACACACTCCCCTGTTTCGTCCCCAACCGCCGCGGCCATCGCCTTTCTCCATCCTCTGTCGCCACTGCAACCGCGACTTTTTCTTCCGAACTCATTGATCTTCTCTTTCTCCTCTAATCTCTTGTAGTCTTAAAGAGAATATAAGCTCATAGATTTACCCTGAATTTATCAGTTGATGAGACATGGTACAAGCTAGCTAATTTAACATGTAAAAATAACACCTAGTGTTTTTTCGTATTTTATTAATCTTCATTTCCTCACGTGGCCTTGTGTGTTATAAGCTACCTTTGAGAAACCAATTAGTTATGCTAATTAGTTAAGCTACCTTTAAGTATTAAATTAATTGAGATACTAATTAAAGCCACTTATTCTTTCTCCAAACTAAGTGGTGATCTTGAGCATAGCGAGCTCCCTCGCTTTCGAGTGAAGATTCTCAACTCTCAGGAAACTCATACGGAAATTAATACTATTGTTCACGATATACGCCTCTTGGCGTTATTTTTGCTGTCGATTTTTTTCCGATATATCAGATTAAGTATTCAAACAATTTTTGCTGTCAAACAATTTTTGCTGTTCGATGCGAAATATTCAATCTGATATTTTTCTTAAAGTAATATGCTCACGTAGACGGAATTGTTTTAAGATTAAGTATACATGTTGTTGTTAGATTGATTAACTATTAGTGTTATGAAGATAAAAGATTATAAAAATGATCCAACTTCTTTAAATTCAAATTTGTTTTTCTATTTGCTTACAGATAGTTCACCATTTAATATACGGAATTACCACGAGATAGTCTACCATACTAGTGTATTTAATGAAATATATTGTTTTTGAATTTATTAACAAAATAGGCTTACAAATGGTCTTACTATCCCTCTGACTTAATGTGGTGACACAAAAAAATTGTGTCAGAGTAAACAATAACGTACCATGCAAAATTGACATTTTTTTTGTTAATCATTTCTCTTTCATTACTTTG